CGTTCTATGGCCACTTTGTTGCTGGCGAGGATCAAATCAAGATAATACCCACACTGGAAAGGTAATTGCCCATTACGATAAACCCACTCACTTACCGCTTTCTTTTCTCTCTTTCTTCCTACTTTTTCTTCTTTTTTTTTTCTATTTTTTTTTTGTTTTTTTTTTGTGTGTTTTGTTGCCCTTGGGTTCCCGTTGTTCCCGCTGTTGCGTTTTCCGTTACCGTTGCGGGTTCTATTTATTTATGAATTTTGAATCGGAAATATTGCGGTTGTGCCCCACCAACACCCCAACCACCACAACCAACCAAAACCACAACCACAACCACAACCGCTACGCTTTGTATGTAACCGGAATCCACACATCCAAAAAAAAATAAATCGAATCGAAAATCGAATATTCAACGAAACCATCGCATCCCGCCTGCATCGAATGTATAGCTCCTGAAATTGGCACGCAACCTGCTGGGCCAGAGACTGTTTGTGCTGCTCATGAAGTCCAGCTTCTACGGACACTTTGTGGCCGGGGAGAACAGGCACACGATTGTGCCCACCCTGGAGAGGTTGGGCAATACCTACAATACCTACCAAAAAAAAAAAAAAAAAAAAACAAAACAAAATACATTTTTTTGTCGCTACTAACGAGCTAAAATCATCCTGCACTGAGCGGGCATCCATTTGTGTGGCATGTAGCAAGCATGAAGATTTTTTCTCGAACTCCTAAATCTGATTACCCTCTCCCGACCCCGACCCCGCCCCGCCCTCCAATCGAATGCTGCAACTACCTGCTACTACTACTACTATCTATCGCCTAAAATGAAACAAAATTTGAAACCCACTACCACCAGCTACCACCCACTCCCTCCTAAACTCTAAACTCTAAAAACGAAATTCTTTTTGATGTACCTAATCTCCTATGTGTGTCTATGTTGAAGTAATAATCGTGATCAAAACCACCTGACGAGTGTCCTTTATCTTCCCCTTTGACCTCCTGAAATGCAGGCTCCGTTCATTTGGCGTCAAGCCCATTCTTGATTATTCCGTCGAAGAGGACATCACCCAGGAGGAGGCGGAGAAACGCGAAGTCGAGTAAGTACAGTCACAGTCACCCACGCAATCGTTTCCCTCTCCAACTCACACTTTGATCTCAGATCTTCCGTTTCGAGCGCTGGCGATAACAAGGAGGAGGGCGCCATGCCTCAGTATCATGTGGACAAATCTTTTGCCGATCGTCGCTACAAGGTGAGCAGCGCCCGCACCTACTTCTATCTGAATGAGGCCACCTGCGAGCGCAACATGGAGACGTTCATCAAGTGCTTGGAGGCTGTTTCGGGTGAGTAACGAACCCTTTCACCAGCGCTTGCTGTTCCAATTCTTAGAATGTTCATTGCAAAGTTTTCTCAGCATGCAGTTTATTTGTCTTGACTATTGTTTATTCTGCACCCAAGCAGTGAGCAAGATTTTGCATGAGGCATCAACAAACTAAAAAAGGGTTCTATTTGGGGCAGTTTTCGCAGACAGCGAGACGACTCTTCTCAGAGTCCGAAAAGAAATCCAAACGGCAAACTCTTTGATGGCGAGTCGCTCCCGACAACACCAGCAAGAAATAAACAAACAGAATCGGAATAAGAGAATCGAATAAACATTGATATGAAACTCGATCTTGATGCAAAATCTTGTCATTTGATCATCTAGTAATGGATTCAGTTCGTAGAAATGTTTTTGGTTTGCGGCAAACTCTTTTCAACTCCTTTTCACATGAATTTGAAATAATAATAACAAATACAAATCCAAATCCAAATCCTCACACATTTCCTGCTCTTTCAGCATGAGAAGCGTTTTCCCCTATGCCAGTGTCTCTCTCTCTCTCTCTCTTACATCTATCTGAGTATAAAGTAATTTGATCGCATAAAATAATTGAAGTTTTCTTTCGCCTTCACCCTCCACTCTTCCTCGCAAATGGTATATGGCTACAATAAAACGAAAACAAAACCCCCAAAAATCGAATCCATCTGTCAAAAAAACTGTCAAAACTCCCATTGAAAAAATATAACCCTAACAATAAGACGATGATGCCAAGGTGCCCCGTGCCAGCGCCGCGGGTAAGGCAAACAGAAAACAAACCCACCAATAGAGTTGAAAAAGTTATGCTTTTTGGCATCATTTGTGTGCATTTTGTGTAGTTAGTTGTTCGTAGATTTATCCAATTGTTTGTAGCGCTTTGAACTAAACTAGAAACTGCTTGCCCACTGGGCTTTAACTGCTTGCCAATGTAACTGCTTCACTCTCGTTTTCCGTTGTTTCCCTTTCAACAACTCAACACACGGAAATTCAACAACAGGCGCTACATTCGGCACTGGCATCACGGCCATCAAGCTCACCGCCCTCGGCCGTCCACAATTGCTGGTAAGTGGCAGCGCAAATATACGAGAAAAAGTCTACTAATCCCATTCCCATTCCCATTAGCTGCAATTGTCTGAGGTGATTATGCGCACACGCCAGTACATGGAGGATCTGATGGGTGGGCAGGGTAATGTGCTGACCCATCACAAGACGATCAAAGATCTCGAGAAGTATTATGCCACGCTGGGCGACAACAAGAATGTGCAGGATTTCCTTAAGAATGTCACCTCGGACAAGGAGGGCATTCTGCATCTGTTCCCCTGGTCGGGAATTGTCGACGAGGACTCGCAGCTGAGCGACACGTTCCGTGTGCCCGATCCACAGACCGGCCAAATGCGCCGACTGATCTCACAGATACCGCCCAAAGAGGAGGAAATGTTTAGGAATATGATTCGTCGTCTAAACACGATTGTAAAGGTAAGCGACAGACAGCGAAAGAGAGAGAGAGAGAGCGTGGACTGGACTCTGCTGGAAACTAATTACTTTGCGTGTTGTTCCCTCCCCCCACCAGACTGCTGCCGAGCTGGATGTGCGCATTATGATCGATGCGGAGCAGACCTACTTCCAGCCGGCCATTTCGCGCATCACACTGGAAATGATGCGCAAGTACAACAAGGACAAGGCCATCGTTTTCAACACGTATCAGTGCTATTTGCGTGAATCGTTCCGCGAGGTTGGCACCGATCTGGAGCAGGCCAAGCGCCAGAACTTCTACTTTGGCGCCAAGCTGGTGCGCGGCGCGTACATGGAACAGGAGCGTGCACGTGCCCAGGCTCTGGGCTATCCGGATCCCGTCAATCCCACATACGAGGCCACCACAGACATGTACCACAAGACGCTGTCCGAGTGCCTGCGACGCATCAAGGTGGGTTCAACGTTGTCCCCATTCTGTTGTTGCAATCTCTAGAAATGTTTGCTTTTGCAGCTGATGAAGGATTGCGGCGATGATGCCAGGAAGATTGGCATTATGGTGGCATCCCACAACGAGGACACCGTGCGCTTTGCCATCGAACAGATGAACCAAATCGGCATCTCGCCCGAGGACAAAGTGATTTGCTTTGGCCAATTGCTGGGCATGTGCGACTACATTACCTTCCCACTGGGTGAGTTCGGGCCTTTGCCAAATCGTTTTCTCAGCGCTAAACGTTTCCGTTTCGTATCACAGGACAGGCTGGCTACTCCGCCTACAAGTACATCCCGTATGGACCCGTTGAGGAGGTGCTGCCATACTTGTCGCGTCGCGCACAGGAGAACAAGGGTGTGCTCAAGAAGATCAAGAAGGAGAAGCGATTGCTGATGGCTGAAATTCGGCGTCGCCTGCTGCGCGGTCAGCTCTTCTACAAGCCCAAAGGCAACTACGTACCCATCTAAGCCTGGATGGACGCGCACTGTACAGACACACACGGACAGGCACAACGTACAGAAATGGGTTGCGGTGACAGCGACACCACCACCACCACCACAACCATCACCACCACCACCAAGCGATGCTGTTGATGATTATATGTCGCCCAGGGAATTGTGCTCGCTTCAGGCTTTTTTTTATTATGTTTGTTATCCATTCTAAATGTTTACGAGATCTGCGTCCACTCCTCCTTCTACCCTACACACTCTACCCACAAAAAAAACAGCTGCTGAACGCGGAGCAGGAGAGACAGCGCAGGGAGGATGAGAGGGGAAATGTTTTTCTAATGGAAATATGTATGATATTTTGATGTCTTGTTGCAACCAATAAATTAAAAAAGAGTTCTGTATGTGTGTTACAAAAACAAAACTAAAACTAAAACTAAAACCCAAAAACCCCCCCATAGAAACGAACGAAGAACAGATTTTCGACGAAGAAAGATGAAGAGAGAGCGAACATTTTTTAGCATCGTAATTTAACACATACAAAAAGAGAAAACACTACAGTATATAAAGATATATACAATTATATAACAAAAACATAATGAGAGCAAAACGTTTATAGAAATATGTAACGAAATATGTATACATAGAGCATATTATGTACATGCATGTGTATGGCTGCATTTTAGTGCAAACTTTTTGTTGCCTCTTTTCTGTTCAACTTTCACTTGCAATTTGATTTAGTTCCACCCTAATACTACGATCTCCCCCCCACAAACGATAGAGTTAGAGATCAAGAGTACAGTCATCCACTCCAGAATAGTCAACAGAATGTACTGCCGTGGGCTGCAGCGAGTGAGAGAGAGAGAGGGAACCAGGGATAACCGCGCATACCTAAACCTAGCACCTCCTATTATTATTATGATTATGATTATGTTTATGGCTAAATTATCATTTTATGAATATATTTTTAGCGTGTAGCAAAAGCGATACTATAAAAGTCATTAATACGATAGTGGGAAACAAACCCGAACCCGATTTGTTTCAGGGAGTTGATAATTCCTTGGGCCATGGCACCAGGTTAACCAGGAGCGAACAGCCAGCCGAGCGTTTGTTTGATTTGTCTTTAGTAATATTCTCATGATTGCTATTATTATTATTGTATTTGCATAAACGCTATAAATAAATAATTGTATGAATGTTAACTATTTCAATGACAATAATAAAATGTTAAAAACGACCAACTTCCCCATGCTCATTTGGCGTCAGTTGATTGGGCAATCAGGGGAGATTCCAACTCCCAATGAACACATTTATTTGCACGCATTTGAAAGGGATACGGGCTGGCCCTCTCTTTCGTTTTTGTTGTCTTTCTGCTCAATGAAACAAGTACAAAGCTTCTGAATTTAAGTCATACACTCTATGAAAGACTTTCTTTCGATTTACAAACTAAATTAACTAGAGCGTGGCAGTTCCCACTCGCAACTAAAAGTTGTTCTTCTTTTTTTGCCTTGTGCTGGAGCGGCGACCGCCGAACTCGACCATCAAAGGATCATTGGTCTTGCGGTCAAAGGCTGCCTTGGCGCCGGTCGTCGCACGTGGCCGCTTGGCATCCGCGGAGGATTCGCTCGAGACTGTGGTGGAGCGAACGACACGCTTCAGCACCTTGGGCACCATGTACTCGGGCATGTCGGACAAATGGCTGGGCGTTTTCAGTATGCGCAGTGGCTTGTCGTGCCGCAGGGCATTCAGATCTCGTTGATGATCCTCGAAGTAGCCCTTCAGCTTGACACTGTTGAGCACCTCGGTTTTGATTTCGCGCAGGCGAGTCTCCTGCACGGCAACCCGCGAGGCGGCACGCCAGGCATCGTACGTACGATAGCGAAAGGACTCCAGTTCGTCCATTTTGAATTGGTAATTTCTGCGCAAAAGAAAATCATTTAAATGCTGCTTACAGTTGGGAGACTCTCGCGCGACTTACTTGATGATTGTGTCGCCCTTCTTGGCACTGAACGTCACACGGAGTTTCTTCTCGACGGCGTCGTTGACGCTCGACTCCTTGATGCTGACCAGCGACAACACAGAGCCCTTGTTGTTGCCTCTGGCCGTGCGTCCGGCACGATGAATGTACGAGGTGACATCCAGCGGAAAGTCAAAGTTGATGACATTATTCACCGACTGGAAGTCGATGCCACGCGAGGCGCTCGACTCGAAATCCCCGCGCGATGATTTGCGCTTGTCCTGGTCGTTTGCATTGTCGGGACGCTCGAGGTAGTGCTGATCGGAGGCAATGATGATGTCGTAGGTGCCCTTGTTGAACTGGCTAATCATGTTGATGCGAATCGAGGCCGGCAGCTGTGGATTGAGCACGCACGCCCTAATCCCGAATTGCTCCAAGAACAAGCGAATTCTGCAAGCGAAATGTAAGTGGGAAAGTTTTAATGGAAGTTCTTGCAGAGTGGGGGCTTGGTTGAGGGACTGCCTGATCCATCAGCGAGAAGATTAGTTACTGGTCATGCGTGTGCCAACTGTTGCCAGATGCGCACTCCCCTTTCACTTTGTGTTTGACATCATGTGGGACTCAGGACAGCAAGAGCAAGGGTCACGCTTTGTGCACTTACTTGTAGCTGCGATCGATGGTGTTGACGAATATAATGGACTTGCCGCGCACAAGTTGCAGCTTAAGCAGAGCATAGAGGATGACCGGCTTCTCGTTCTCTTCGGCCAGGATGCGCTGGTGCGTGAGCTGATCCTGCGACACCACATCGGGCTCCTCCAGCTTGAGCGTGACTGGATTGTGCAGGCACAGACCCTTCATGCGCACCACATCGTCTGAGAGCGTGGCCGAGACGAGCACCGATTGGTATATGGCTGGCAGATGTTTCAGCAATGCCTTGAAGTCCGTTTCGTAGCCGAAGGCAAATATCAGATCTGCCTCATCCACCACCAGAGTCTCGACTTTCTTCAGGTCCAACACACCGTCGACCTTGGCGTGATTCAGAAGCTTGGCTGGAGTGGCCACAACAATGTCGGGACGCTCGGCCAGGGCATGGCGTTCGGTCGCAGTGTTACTGGTTGTGCCCGAAATGTCCGCAACGCGCACAACCTTGTGGCAGAGTTCGGCCAGCTGCTCGATGACGGCGCGCGACTGCCGGCACAGCTCTTTGGTTGGGGCCAGCACCACGGCGCTCACACATTGCTCGGTGGCAGTGAGCTTGGAGTTGAGAATTTTCTGTATCAGCGGCAGGGCATATGTAGCCGTCTTGCCGGAGCCCGTGCGGGCGCGCACGACAACATCCTTGCCCTCAAGCAGCAGCGGAATAGCCGTGCCCTGAATCAGCGTGGGCTGCTCCCATCCCAGCTTGGACACTGCCTGCAAGACGAAAGGAAAATTGAGTAACCGCGGAATAAGTGCCAGTTGCTTGGCTACTACCTTAAGGATGCGATGGTCCAGCTCGAGTTCATGGAACTGTGGTATTTTTTCTGGACCGCTCATTGTTGTAAATTTTTAAAATGCGCAGCGAACAACGCACATGCTTATGTCCAAAAGTAGTGTTACCCTAAAATACCACCAAATCAATGAAATATACCATTATATGCCCCAAATATACCTTCATCTGTACGGTATATTTATACAATATACCAAAAAAAATATTGGGAGGATGCGTACCCACGCCACTTATCGATATGCGATTGAATATAAAAATAAAAATTAAAGATACGATTTGATAATAAGCTTTAATCGCAGGAGTTGCACAAATAGATTCGTTTAAAATACTGAAGCCACGGGTTTCCCTTTTCAACACTTGCGGCAGCTGTTATTTGCACGCTCTGCAACACTAGTCCAAACAAGCACGTGCATGCAGCTAGGCGACAGGCCTCTGTTTTTAATTATTTATTGAATCGTGTATATTGTTAATTCTAATGGAGAAAGAAGACAGAAAGAGTGCACGTAAAAAGGCCAAACAGGCAATCAAGAACTATTTAGAAGACAACGACTGCGAAGCTCTTAAGCCGAGCGGCAACAGCTGTTGCGGTTCGGGCCTTCAAGAGTTCGATGCCCAAACGCACGACGCCTGGATATTGACATGCCCCAAGAGTCTGGATAGCAGTTTGTTGGAGGGCAAGCGCATCAAGTTGCCCGGACGTCGCTATGTGGGCCATCTCAAGGTGCGGGGCAGCGAATGTGCGACAGCGTCTCCTGAAACCATTGCCTACACGAATGTCAAGGGCAAAAACAAGGTTCGCAACATTCCCATCAGTGGCATTGTGGTTGTCAGCAAGCGTCTGAATTTGGCGAAGCCCAGTGCCACCCAGGCGGCCACACCTTTCCCGGCGACCCCACCACCGCCAAACTTCATGTTGCCTTTGCGGCATCCGTTCTTCGGCCGTGACTTCAAGAGGCACATTGAGTTGCCCAAAGAGATTTCCAAGAAGCTGATGAAGGCGAACAAAAAGAGAATTGCTACAGCAGAATTTGTGCGACGCAATGCAAACTTTTACAGGGTTCGCAAGCAGATTTTGGGCTCGACGCAGACGCTGGAGGAGAAGGAGTACGAGGTGCGTCAATCGGTGCTGACCGGCGTTAGGCCAGACTTTATGAATGAAAGTGCGCCGAAGTACGACCTCGGGGACCTCACCAGCGACGACAAAGAAGAGCGTATAAAAAAGAAGCAAGTCTCGTCCGTGAAGAAACCGAAAAAGCGCAAAGCCAATAAAGAGGTAGCAGCGATACCGGACAGCGCAGATGGTGCCTCACGAAAGAAGCGAAAGAAGCTGGTTACCGAATGAGTAATATAAGTAATATATTTAAGACGAAATCAGCCTAAAACTGAATCGAAACTTTCTTAGACTTCGCATATCGTGTTGTCTCTTTTTGTTTGCCTTTGTTCAGTTTTAATAATACATTTCGACAAGTCCTTGTGTTTTATTTGATGGCTTTGGGGTCAGGTCTCGGCGCGGCATAGGAAAAGGCTCAGCCGCTCACGTACAGCTGCATTACAGTAATTTGCACCAATACCAATGCATTGCAATGTTCCGTTTTGCGTGCTGTCTTTGCACACAAACGCACCAAACGAAGCCCTGTTGCATGGAATATTCATTTTTCTCGACTTAATTGGATTTTCTTATCCTGAAAGTGCAGGATGACAGTTGAGAGGAAGTAAACTGTAATCAGCGTTGCTTTCGACACATTTCGGGAATGTATTTGGAAATCCTAAAATTTGAAGGGCATTGACAACCCTTTTACGTGTCAAAAATTAACCAAAACAAACTCGGAATGTGTTCGGAATAGGTTACAAAATCACACTCATTCCGCCGTTTTCCCCCACTGCACAGGTGCACGCCGCAAAGAGGAAACACGCAGAGGAAGTAGAAGGAGAAGCAGAAGCATGGCGCTGCGTGCCTACATACGGGAGGGCCTGAACGTGGCCGCAATTATGGGTGCTGGCGATACCATTGCCCAGCTGTTCATTGAGAAGAAGTCGCTGCAGCAGTGGGACATTGGACGAACGGCCCGGTTCAGTGCGCTGGGTCTGGTGTTAGTTGGCCCGGCCCTGCGCAAATGGTACCTGACGCTGGAGAAGCTGGTGAGCAAGGATCAGCCGGCGCTGAGGCGCGGCATCAAGAAGATGGCAATCGATCAGACTGTGTTTGCGCCCACCTTCACGCTGGCCATGTCGTTTGCGGTGCCCTACGTCAACGGCGAGGATACGGACAAGATTAAGAATCGCATTCGCAGCAGCTACTTTTCGATTATGCTCAAAAACTACATGCTTTGGCCGGCGGCACAGTTCGTGAACTTCACGTTCGTCCCACTGCCCTACCAAGTGATTTATGCACAGTTCATTGCTCTCATCTGGAACTGTTACATTTCCCTCATACTCAACGAATAAAATAACTCCAGCAGATACAATTAAATATGAAACAAACAATTCTTTCAATTGCGCGCTCGCTATCGTTACAGCTATCGATAGCACACATCGATAACCGCATCCATCGATAGTGTTTGTTGGAAAGTGCGCGGCTGCTTGCAGTTTCATACAAATTAGTCACTTTAGCCGGCACCATGGATTATACACGTGAGATTTTGACTTTCCAGTTCGGCACCTATGCCAATTATGTGGGTGCACACTTCTGGAACCAGCAGGTGAGTCCGCAAAGGCAGTATTAGTTGCCAATCCAAAGCTGTTTTGCTTCTTGCAGGAGGCACACTTTGTGTACGATGGCGCCAGTAAACAGATGGCCGAGGAGCAGCGGCCGCAAAACGATGTACTGTATAGGGAAGGCCTTAACGACTACGGCCAGACGACCTATACGCCTCGTCTGCTCTCCGTCGATCTGGCCGGCAACTTGGCCCATCTGCCCATGGGCGGCGAGCTCTACGGCAACTTTGTGCAGCGCAACGAGGAGCTGCTGCCCCTCACCACGGGCAGTGATCTGCAGAAGCTCAAGCAGAGTGCGGAGGCGAACAACCTCTCCACCGTCGATCAGTTGGAGGTGCGCGCCCAGCCGCCAGCTCCCATCTCCGAGTACCAGCGGGATTTGCTCCAGGGCGCCATAGCACCCGACAAGAACTACCAACTGGCGGACACAACGCGCAGCTGGGCGGACTATCTGTACGCTAGATATCATCCGCGCACGCTCAACGTGCTGCCGGACTTGATACGCGACAGCGAGGTCCAGGCCTTGGCCACACAAGCGGCTGGCAAGGAGATCTGGGATGGGGAGGCCTTCAACGAGGACTTCTGCAATCGCATTCGCCAGTACGCCGAGGAGTGTGAGGGCCTGCAGGGCTTTCACATGCTCTTCGACATAGATGACGGCTTCAGTGGGCTGGCCAGCAAGTGCATGGAGCACTTGAACGATGAGTACGGACGCGTGAGTTACGTTTTGCCGCTGCACTATCCACGGATTCCTTCGTACAATCAAGCAGGTAAGCGCCAGCTCCACTCTCTGTGGGTGACTCTCCCAAGTGACTTAGCTACGAACTTCTTCCTGTTAGATCCTCGCACGGCGCACAGCATACGCGTGGTGAACAGCGTCATGAGCTACTATCATCTGAGCGAGCAGGCCACGATGTTCACGCCGCTGTCCACGCTGGAGACCATTTGGCGGAACAACACGCTGCAGTCGCGTCGCCTGCCAGGCGTCGCATGGCGCGAGGGCAATCTCTATCAGACTTCGGCTGTGCTCGCCGCCTTCGTGGACACGATGACGCTCAGCTACCGTCTGCCGCAGACGCCACAGTCGCTGGTGCGCTTCTGTGACAGCGTTTGCCCGGTTGGCCGCAAGTTGACAGCAGCTGCCATGGCTCTGCCCTTTGGCTTGCAGCAGGAGCAGGACCTCATCGACTTCCTGGACCAGAGCGGCGACCATTCCCTGTTGACACAGCTAACGCCGGGCTGCGAGGCGGGCAACTCCTACGTGATGCAGTCGCTGATGGCGCGCGGCATTCCCACCAGCCGATTGAAGCGTCCCCAGGAGCAGGCCGGCCCACAGCTGCGCATGGCTGCCTACAGCTGCAACAGCGTCTCCCAGATGCTGCAGCTGTACTACCAGTGCAGCTTCCATGGCAGCGTCACCCATGCTGCCTCCACGCCACTGCCCCTGCGCACCAGGCTGCCATTCCCCTACGAGCTCTTCGAGGCGAACATCGCAACGGACGGCTGCCAGGTGGCCGGCGGTGGGGAGCGCGAGCCGCACAGCCGCGTGGAGTCCGCGCCCGTGCTGGCCGCCCTGCAGAACTCCACCAAACTGGGCGAACATCTCGACAATCTCCATGCCCAGACCCATCGTGTGCAGATCGGCAAGCTGCAGTCCTACTCCCAGTCGGCCGTCGATCGCGAGGAGTACGAAACGGCCCTGGACAAGCTGCTCGAGTTTCGCGACAACTACGCCGATTCCCAGCACCTCTAAAGCGGGAATGTCTCTCTCTCTCTCTCTCATACGATTGTGATAAGCATAGACTAGAACAAAAACACACAATAAAAACTCATTAACATGGAAGCGCATGGGGCGGGGATTCCATTTCTAGGATCCGCAGCAGCCGCAGTGCATTTTGTCTCCGTTCTGCGGCGACCTGTGAATGAAAAATAAGACAAAGGCATTGCCTTTGTTCTCTGCAGTGCTTTGCATTGGCCGGGAATTTACAAAAGTCGTCAAAGAATTCAGCTTTGCATTCCCATTAGCTTGTTGAGACTGTGCAGCATATTGGGCAGGACAATTTCTATTTTTTGTGCTCTCAAGCTTCTTGTAACTAGTTGCCATTTCTATGGGAAAGTTGCTAATTGAATTGTTAGGAATATTTTTGAGTTTATCAACGTTAAACTGTTCTCAGTTGTCCAGCCCTGAACGCACAAGGTTGCAGTCTTGGGTGCTGATACGTGATTCAACAAATTCACCACCAGCGAAGATCGCCACCTTCTTAGTCATTTCACCATGGGCAAGCAGTGCAAGATCAAAAAATTATTTAAATTATCATTTATAATTCTGTTGCGATATTTTCTGTGTGGGGTTGTTGAGGAATGTTATGTAAAGGATGTTTTGCCTGAATTTCCACTGTGCTTATTGCCTCAAACGCCCTTCAATCGGAAATCCATGAACTGCCAAGTATCAGCCAGTCGCATGCGGCAGACCACTCCGCCTTGCTTTTGTTTTGGTTTATTTGTTGTCTCCAGAAGTGAACCCAAAAGGTACCCTTTCCGGGTGCTGCTGCCTAACCCTTTCGGACATTCGGATTGAAAGTTTTTGGCCCCCCGCGCCATCTAATTTATACGGAAATTTATTGCCAATAAAGCGGCAGTAATTGAAATCTCAACGGGAGTAAATCACAATTTTATGGACTGCCGATAAAGGCATAACCGAATAGGTAGGATAGCAGTGGGGAGGGTCGCTGGGGGGGGGGGCGGCAGTTCATAATTTCACATTGGGCCTGGGTCTTTGGTCTCAGGTCAAGTTTCTCGGGTTGCGCCTGCCCCGCATTGTTGTGCAAATTAAATTTCAATTTGATTGGCACACAGGGCTCCTTCCCTCTGGAGCTGCTTAAAGCAGCTGCTGCCACAGCCACCGACCGGCTCGCCACCAGAGAAGGGACCCAAAATGCCGAAATTAAAATTACGCCAACGACTTTAATGGAATATGTGCGTGGAATTTGAAATGCCAAATTCTGGATCGGAGCAAAACAGAAGCAACGCATGCGAAATTCTATTCTCGCTTCTAATTTCATTTCTGGGTTAAGTAATTTGGTTTTCTTTTCCTGCTGCTGTCTACAGTTTGCAGTTTGCAGTCTATCATTGAGAAGTTCTTGGCCGCAAAAGCTACGAGGGGCCAGCACTGGCTGCCCATGGCTTTAGCGGCTAGCAGAGAAAGTTGCCTTGGCTTGAGGAGTGAAAACCCTGCTGCGTGGTGTAATGTGTGAAAATTACAGTTCGAAATGGGTTGGACATTTTTTTGGAGCATTCCAAATGATGCCATAACAATCCATTTCTGCAGTCCGAAGTCCTTGCAACACCGAACCGTCCTATCATTTTCAATTAGCTGCTCCAATTACTCAGTTGGTCAGCTGCTTAAGTGCTTGGCTTGGGCGCCTTCCGAGTTGATTTTTAATTTCATTCCGACTCCGACCCACCCACTGGGTACTTCATCATTTCATGCAATGGATGGGGGGAGTCCTGGCGC